ACTGGATCTAACCTAACTGGATCTAATGGATTGGTGGGGAGTGTTGGCCCCGTGGTCAGAGCAGTGCTCTCTACTCTAAGAGGGTTGCTAGTACCCGGTTCATCTCCACAGACTGCCACTGGGTCCCTGAGCCAGACCTTTAACTCCACCCTGCTCCCTGAGCGCCGCACAATGGCAGCCCACTGCTCCCCCAGGGGAGGGGTTAAATGTAGAGAGGGAATTCCTCCAGTGTGAGATCAATAAAGTCAAACTTTTATTATTAACATTACTGATCTAATTTAACTGGATCTATCCAGGTTAAATCCAGGATCTATCCAAAGACCATAATCTAATCCAATCCTGTGGGATTCTTTAAAAGTCTCCAGTACCAGAATATTGAACAGAAAATAATCCCACTGCTGAAGACCATCTGGGTCAGAACCTGGAAGAAGGTCCGCTCCATGGACTCATGGTGACTTCAGGTTCCCTAACCCTTCTAAAGGGATGGAGATCAGGGAACCCAGAACCACAAACCATCTGAGCTCCTCTCATCCAGAACCTCTACAGACTCAGCAGCAAGGAGGTCTCTTCTGGATCAGTTCTGGACCATCAGGCTTCATCTACACCTGAGTCTGATCTGCTGCAGCTCCTCTAAAACCACCACAACCAGAACCACCAGAACCACAGGGTAGCTGGCAGAACCCAGGACCTCCCCAGGTCCACCTGGGTCCACCTGCATCACAGCAGGTTCCACAGCAGGAGCAGAGAGCAGCTCCAGGAGGAGGAGGAGGAGGAGGTCAGACCCCCCACCCACTCACCGTGGCTCCGCAGCTCAGAACCAGGATCAGCAGAATCCAGCCGCTCCTCATCCTGGCAGCAACAGTCGCTCCAGCTGCTCCTGGTTTCTCAGGAGGAAGATCTCCGCTGATGACTCCTCCTCCTCCTCCTCCTCCTTTCAGCTCCGGAAACTGGAGCCACTTTAGAGAGAAAGGAGCGCGTGGAACCGCAGCCCGAATTTGTACAGAGACAAGTCGGTCGGCGGGAGCGCGCGCTGGAGGGAACGAGCACACGATGACGAGTACGAGCACCATAAAGCGCGCGCGCGCCGCTTTCCAAAGTACCGCGAGATTCGGGAGATCAAACAGCCGCTGATTGTTTCTGGACAAGATCAGGCTGCCTTCATCATCATCATCATCATCATCATCATGATGTCAGAACACTAACAGCCACCAGCCAACATGGCTGCTGTGATTTCTCCACCAGCGCACCGGGCGGGCGGGGTCTGAGCGCTTCACTGATAGGCTGCTTCCTGCAGCGCGCATGCGCAGAGAAACCACTGGTCAGCTGCGGACCAGTTTGGGCTCAGAACCAAGAACAGAAATAAATCCTGCAGCAGATGATGACTCCTCCTCCTCTTTAAAATTAGACTCTGACGGCAGCTCACTGTGTCCCCCTGCTGGTAGCAACACAGGACCTCCC